AGATCGGCTAATTTTATTTATAATGAACTTAATGTATTCTTTTGGGGTTTTGCAATGATGGGATTGGACAAGTCATTCGAGACCACCACTCCCTGAGCTCCCCGCCCTAAGGTCACGCTTAGTAGGAAGAAAGCCACTACCCCCTCTGTTCCTCTCGGTTTGCCCCTGGCTACCATATATCGTGCAAACAAGCTCGGGCGTTGATCTGCTTGTTACCCGAGCTTACGCTATGAGGGGCAATGTCATCGAGGTCAATGATGATGTCCGGCCAAAGAGGCAAAAAGGATTCATCCTCCATTAATCATACTCCGATCATTGACGCCCTTTTGTTCGGGGGCAATTAGATGGCTGCCCTACTAGATAATGTCAGCTTTATCTTGCCTGCCTCAGAGGACACATCCGAGTGAACAACGAATTGGGTCGGCGAGCGCGGAGCTCAGGACCTCATTCAAGTACATACGCATTAGATGTTTTCTTTCCTTCACAGATAACTTGACTAGTCTGTTCTATTTGCAGATGGGCTGCACATTGGCCCACCTCTTCTATCGGGTAGAGGGTGTCGAACAGGCACATCAGAAGCAAGCAAAAGTGGCGAAAAAGACCGTTGCTAAACGGGACGCAAAGATTCGCGAGCTTGAGTCTAAGGTCTCGGATCTCGAGAAAAAAAACGAGACGCATGTCCTCGACTATAAAGCTTCACCAGCCTTCTTCAATGACACTGCTGAGATTCCTAGGATTCTAGCAACTCATGTTTTCGCGAATCGGCCTAATACTAAGCCCTTCTTCAGATCGCTGCTAGGCACCGAACATCAAGAAGAATTGGTCTGGGCATACGTCAAGTGAGCATTTTTATGTGGAAAATGCAAAATGCAGGTCGACGTAAAAGATGTGTTAGCCGAAGCGTTGAATGATGACGACCTAGCAATCATCCTAAGCATCATACATAAGGAGGTGGCGGATCTTGGTCTAGCACTATACACATAGCCCACCCCAACGAGAGCGACTTCTTGGAAACCTGAGGAGATAAGAGAGATAACTCTTGATGGATCTCAGCGTTGCACAATGCTTACTTCTCAAGGGGTCACCCATCATGTAATTACTGTAAGTCAAGTACGCTTAACCACAAAGTTCTTTGCCATATTCTACTTAAAACCATTTGGTGATAAGTAGGTGGACATTAACCATTTAACCAAATCCCTCCATGGTAAGCCATAGCGCCACGTCTCGAATCAAGCAGGGGCTGAACTCAGCCAACCTAGTTGACGCCCAACAATCCCTCTCTCAGCACCTGTCACAACCTTTGATCACCAAGCCAAGTTGCGCAGTATGCCTGAATCAGTCCTTAGCCTCCGCACCCATCATCTCTGTTAGGAATAAAGTGTAATGGTTTTGATATGCCAAATTTGTATTTGTAGATCCCCCAATTTTATTTCATAGGTCTAGTAGAGTCTTAGACCATGATCGGGAAATTATTTAATTATGAAAAGAGAAAAACAGAGGAAAATGGATGAAAATAGAAGAAGAAGATATAAAGCCGAAAATCAAGAATTTGTCTGGAGAAAATGACAAATTGAAGAAGAAGATGAATGATACAATATTCACGTCGCTACTACTCAAAGAAGATATCCCAGAAGAATTTTCGTGAAGAAAATTAATATTGGAAGAATGCATGAAATTGACTTGGAGATCAAGCATCTATGGAAAGAAAGAAGTACATCAAATGTGATTGGAGATTTAATCAAAAGCTGTACGGACGAAGTGGATGATGCTTGATATATTATTCGAAATGGCTCAAGTGCAAAACTCACCATCAACAATTTTACAAGGTAAAATTTGAGAAGTCAAATTAAATTAATCTGATGGAGTTGGGCGCTAGTTTAAGCTTTGGGCGCCAATTACAAGTGGAAATTGGCTTTGGGCGCCAATTACAAGTGGAAATTGGGAAGCAATTTCACTTGGGTGGCAATTGGGAAGCAATTTCACTTGGGTGGCAATTGAGATGCAATTGCACTTGGAGCCAATTCAAAGGAATTGGGAGCCGATTTCATAGAAATTGAAATTGGGAGCTAGTTCGAAGCAATTGAAATTGGGAGCCAGTTTCAGAGAAATCAAAATCAATTGAAATTGGGAGCAAGTTTCACATGGAAATCAATTCAATATGGGAGCCAATGTAGAATTGAAATTGGGAGCCAATTGAGGTTGTAGTATGGGATGCAATTTCAAAGTTGGGGACCGATTCAAAGAAGACATGGAGATCAAATTGAATTGAGATGAAATTCAATACCAGGAGAAGTCTGGGAGCCAATTTCAAAGTCAAAGTCAACAATTCAAATTGGGAAGCAATTGAAAGCACCAGGAGCAGTTGAGGAGCAGTTGGGAGCCAATTGCAAGTCAAAGTCAATTGGGAGCCAATTGCAAGTCAAAGTCAATTGGGAGCCAATTACAATGGAGAAATTCAAATTGGGTGCCAGTTACAAGCCAATTGAAATTGGGTGTCAATTACAATGGAGAAATTCAAATTGGGTGCCAGTTACAAGCCAATTGAAGTCTGAGAAGTCTGAGAACACCCAGTTTCTGACATCTTTGCAGAAGATAAGATAAGATCTCTGACAAAAAGATATAAGATTTCAAAAATGAGAGTGTCTCTTTCCAACGGACAGATTCTCATTACCAGCTATAAAATGATGAAGATATGAAGACTTGAAGACAGGGAACTTACGAACAAGAGAGCAGAAAATTCGAATCCATCAAAGGGATCGAATAGAGCAATTAAGCTTGAAAGAGCATAGAGAAAAAATCTCATTTGGTACAGAGCATACCAAAAATCTTCAAGTGAGAAGTGAGAAAAGAAAAAGAACTCAGAGAGCTTCAAAAGAGAAATATTCTGAGAGTTCTAAAACAGAGCAAAACAGAGCATAAATATCAAGTGCTTTACTTGATATATTCAAAGAGAGAAAACACTCAGAGCTGTCAAGAGAAATCATTCCAGAGTGTTTATCTTCATCAAAGAGACCTGCGCATCATTGAAGATCATCTACAGAGTCTCAGAAGTTGGAAGCAAGACAACACTTGTTTTGGAGCAAAACAAGAGAAGGGAGGAAAGTAGCACGGAGCTGTGAAATCCTGGATTGTCACACGGAGCTGTGAGATCCGAAGCAGCAGTGTCGGAGGCACTGGGCGTGATTGGTGTGGGCTTGGTGATCAAAGCACCAGATCACGGATACGTTTCTACCGGAGTGTGGAAGACAGGGGGAAAGTAACGCGGAGTCGTGAAATCCTGGGATAGTAGCGCGGCGACGTGAAACCCGAAGCAGCAGTGTGGTGTCACTGGGCGTGATTAGTGCGGGCTTTATGATCAAAGCACTAGATCATGGAAATTCATTGTATCTTGGAACCAAGGAGTGGTAGATATAGTGAATTGGCTCTTGGAGAAAAGAGCAAGTGGAGTAGGAGGATTACACCACCTCGCGAACCACTATAATTGTCTTGTGTTCTTTACTGCTTTCTTTACATACTGCTCTTTACATATTCGCTCTCACGAAGATATACTGCTCACACAATCTCACACACACTTTATGTTTAATTATTTCCGCTGTGCACCATACTCTAACAATCTAGTTATGAGTTTTGGTTTATCTCTGTCTTAGCAATTGTTGTGTTGTGCGAAAAAGTTTGAAAGTCTATTCACCCCCCCCCCCCCCCTCTAGACTTTCACCTTACCTCTTTTGGGACCAACAATCTCCCTCCTAAGATTGGACTTGGCCCGACCTACGCCCATATCCCATCTGGGAATGGACTCGGCTTTTGCCTCACCATCGATTCGAACCCGTGACCTCGGCTCTAAATCCAATTGATGGATCTCAGCGCTGCACTATGCTTACTTCCCAAGGGGTCACGCATCTTATGACTGTTGTAAGTCAAACACGCTTAACCACAGAACTCTTTGGCTATCTGGTTCCAATTTCCTACATAAAACCAATTTGTGATAAGTAGATTGACATTAACCATTTAACCACATCCCTTCATGGTAAGTCATAGCCCCACGTCTCGAATCGAGTAGGAGCTGAACTCAGCCAACCCGACTGATGCCCAAGAACTCCTCCTTCGAAAGAAGTCTGATTGTTCGGGAGCCCGACCCCGTTGTGTCGGGTAAACCAATTTGAACTATATATTGGGAGCTCGACTCCACTTGTGCCAAGCAAATTGACTTTAATCACACCCTCTTTATTACCTATTTCATATATGTTGACAACTTTTACAACATCAAAAAGTCGGGGTTTCTCTTTGGTGGCGCTTTCTACCTTATAACCCTAAGATCCAAACTGCAGCAGCAGAGCTCCTTAGAACTCCTCGACGTCAAGCATCGTCAAACGCAGCAGAGCTTCACCCGTCGCCGTCACTGTGCAGCCGTCATCGTGCAACAGAATGCAGAACACAGAACTCCTCGACTAGTAATTCTTTAAATATTTCCTCTGATTTTTTTTTTTCTGAAAGCTAATTCCTCTTACTTTATTTCAAATCGAATTGAATAGTTCATATACAATTGATTGAGTGCCCTCCGCCTTGTTGAACCCTCCTAAAATTTATTATGATTTGAAATAGAATAATTCATATAGTTCATAACCCTAATTTGAAATATGTTGAACCCTCTGTGAATAACTTTGAATGATGAATTGAATATGAATTTTGAGATTACATAATCAACTTTGAACTGATTTTATGCATTAGAATTGTATAATGTGTAATATGTATAGAAGTTGGATGGATCAATTAATTGTGTTGTGTTTTGTTTTTTGTTTTGATGTTTGAATAAGGGTTGTATAGGACTTTGTGACTCTTTGTACTGTAGAAATTAGAATTCTTGCTAGTTTTAGAATGTTGAAGTTCATGGTTTGTTTAAGCTCTTCCTTTTATTTTTTGTAGTTGAATCACAATTGCGGGCTTTGGCTTTAACATTATCTGTTATTTTAGATAATATTATTTGGCTTTAACTATGGCTTTGAAGGTAGGTTACAATATTCACTTAAAAGTTTGATGTTAAAGGTTTATACTTTTTTACAGATGGAGGATGGAAAGGTCTCGGACAAACATTTGTCTTCAGCTGCAACATTTGTGGAAGGTGGAGTTCAGGATATCTGCGATGATTCTTGTAGCATATGCCTTGAAGCATTTTGTGACAGTGATCCTTCAACAGTATGTATTGGTTTTCACATTTTCGAATATTGTGGTTTGATATTGCATTGCTCTTAGTAATAGACTAAGTGTCATTCTCCGTGCAGATTAATGTTCGCAAGCATGAATTTCACCTACAGTGTATCCTTGAATGGTATGTTATTTCTTATTATAATGTAATAAGATATCGAAAAACTGTTTGTTCTGTTATTATGGTGGCTGGAATAGCATTTGGATGAAGTTGTATTACTTATCAAAAGTATTTATTACTCTATTCGGGAATTAGAAGGTAATAGAGTCCTGAATGGTTTTGCATTTTCGTTTTACATGGGCCAGAGAAGCTCATAGTGTCCCATGTGCTTGCAGCCTCTTAGTGTGAAAGACCCCAACTGGTATATGTTTCTTATACTAAACCGTCGACACTAGTATTCCTAAATACTCATTTGAGTAGTTTGCTGACTTGTGCTCATGCTTGCAGCCAGGAATTGTTTGATGCAGTAGAACACGAGAGGAATATCAGGATGAATCCTCCGAGAAACATTACAATTTTTCATCATCCTACTTTAGGTATCATTCTTAAGAGTGTTTTGGAAAATTTAACCTCATTTTATTTTTTGCTATTGTGTGGCTTGTGTTTAACCTTATGGTATTCAATTTATTCAATTCCGTCATTTGTTAATATTCTTGTGATGCTTTCTTTTATAGGAGATCTCCCCATTCTTCTCCTAACAACCAAGATAGAGTTGGACCATTCGATTTTCAGTTTTTCTCGGAATCTATAAAATCTCGACTTAGTGCCTTTTCAATGAGGTATCTAGATAAATATGTGTATATTTTCCACTTCTGGCTTTCTACTGAAATGTGCTTATTATTATCTTTTCTATTATCATTTATAGATATAACGAATCTATCACAAAGAGTACAAGAGGATGGAAGGAAAAACTTTTCGCTCAGAATAATTCAATAGTGAGTCACGGCTCTGAAAGTAGGAATGAGGTGGCTGCAGATATTGTCACTGTGTCACGCATGATGGATCATCTTGAAACTAGAGAGGCTAATAGGACTATGCCTTATCCTATATCAAATAGAATGGACGAGAATATAACAACAGTTTACGCGGAACAACATATCTTAGCAATTGATGGCAATCACTCATTATGCAACAACGACTTGATGCTATTGATGGCGGGATAGCGGGTACTTCATTATCATCTCCATCTCAAATCAATTGATTTTAATGGTTGTTTGTTAAGACTATTACAATGTTGTTTAGACTTGAATTGACTATTATTATGTATTATATGTGGATTGATAATGGATTGTTATGTTGTTTAGACTTGAATTGACTATTATTATGTATTAAATGTGGATTGGAAGTGTATTATTATTACTTGAACTTAATGTAGAATTATGTTCTATTTTATTTTAGAATTAATAGTATTTTTTATGTTAATATTTTAAAAACATTCATTACTATTTAAAATTTATAATTTTATTTTAAAATAATTCAAAAAAAATGCGACGCAATCGTGACAGAATATAAGATTTGCGACGGAATATTTGATACAAACAATGCGATGGAAAACATTTCCGTTGTTTTTTTTGCGACGGAATTGGCGACGGAAAAGATAATATGGCGATGGAATATTTGGTTCAGAAATAGTGACGAGAAAAGTTCCGTTGCGAAAATTGCAACGGAATTGCGACAGAACATTTTCGTCGCAAAATGGCGACGGAAGTATTCCGCTGCGAAGTCCGTCACCAAAGTTTGCAACGGAACTATTCCGTTGTAGTGGTTTTATAAACATTTTGTCGATCTACGGATCGTGGTCGGGTAACTATGTCTTGGGCCGTTGGCCAATCCGGACAAGGCAAGCAAGGGCATACCGATCTGAGAATCATTGGGAGGAATCTCCCTTTTCTCCCACTCGTTATGACGGGAATTCGATGACCTAGAGGCCAATACTAACCTGGTAATCAGCTACTTGCTAATCTAGGGATCAGGTTTTTATATTATTTTAGGTCGGGTAAATGTGACTGAGAATTCTATTGAGGGGGGAATAATATGGTTGGGAAGTTAAATAAAGGTCTAATCACATGAAGTCGAGAAGATAAATAAATTTGATTGGTGTGACCGGGAGTTAAATAAGGCCCGACCACATGAGGTCTAAAGGCTCCGAGTGGAGTGGTGTAGCTTGGGAGCATAGAAGTCCCCCCCCCCCCCCAGTAAGTGCAATAGATGTTCTTTATATAGAGTGTGGAGAGGTGACACATGTCAGTAGTCCGATATGTCCTCTATTTGACCACGTGAAGGTCGAGATGCTCATCAACCGAGAGGTCTACTAATTAATGAGACCGAGAGGTCTACTAATGATGAGACCGGGAGGTCTATTAATAAATGAGTCCGGAAGGTCTACTAATAATGAGACCAGAAGGTAGGCATGCACTCTCAAAGTCGAGAAATGCACTAGTGTGCTCAAGAAGTATACTAGTGAGGTCGGAAAATTCACTAGTGAGATCCGTAGGGCAACAGTGAGGTTGGGAAATGTACTACTGAGTTCAGGAAGTGCACTAGTGAGGTCGGAAAATATAGTAGTTAGGTAGGAAAATACACTAGTGAACTCTGTAGGGCAAGAGGGTTGCCTTGTAGCATGATGGCCTCCCGGGTTCTTTTTCAATTTTGATTAGGTCAAGAAGTGGCCTGACCTAATTTAATTGCCTATTTTGTAGGGATCAATATTTACCCATCAAGGGATCAGATTTCTATTATGACCAAGAGGTCCAATTTTATCAATCAAGGGATTAGATTTTTCACGATCTAGGGATCGTATTTACTGTGATCTAGCGATCAAATCTTACCAATCAAGAGCTTGGATTTTTCACGATCTAATGGTAGGATTTGGGCTCGAATTCTTCTGTCTCTTAACACTCGGATTATCCACGCGCCGAACACCATACCTCAACTATTATACAACCATATAAGGTTACATCTTAGGTGGATCGGACTCACAAGGATGCTGCTAACTTCTGTTCCGACCAGCCGTCTTCGTGTAACTTATTACATTTTTGCAAAACGCCTAGGATTCCCATCTAGGGAAACACGGAATTTCTGTCCAATTCCCCGGTCTCAGAACATGCCCTAACGAAGGGTAATAAGGGCAGCTCTACCAGCCCCACACTCGTGTGGTGCTAAGATCGACACCACAAATAAGTAAATGAAGTAGTTCAATAATTTTCCGACCTAGAGATCACCTCAGTTACGATTCGACGCCCAAGGTCATTCGGTTAGACAGTCAGCGATGTTCTCCTATCGATTGCTCGTGCATGTTACGATTAAGGGTTCAAATCTTATCAGCTTTGTATGTATTAAGTTTAGGTTAAACGTGGTTACAAGTTCACAACTACGGTGGTCGATCGCCTGAATGGCCTTAATTCACCTATACAATTGTTGACACTAGGATCCGCGATTGTTTTCGTATTCCAAAGGGCCAGTAGACGTCCGGATTTGAACGTGAGCGCGAGCTCAAATTCCAACAACTTTAGGGTCGAGGTTCATTCTATTGTCATAATTTTATCAATAAGTTTTACCAATAAGGTGATCAGATTTTTAACATGATATATGGATCAATTTTTATCGATCAAATGATCGAATTTTCATCGATCTAGAGACCGATTTTACTACAATCCAAGGATCATTTTTTTACATCAATATAGGGATTGAAATTATACCATTTGGTATTGACATTGATCTAGAAATCGGAAACTTAATTCGATTTAGATACCCTTTTGATCAGCATAAAGGTTAGGCTTGACGCATCTTCTTCCGACGCGAAGGTCCGGTTCTACATCGTTTAAGGGATTGAATTTGCTGCGGTTTAGGGACCGTCTTGTGCCGACACGGAGTTCAGGTTTTGCATCAATCTAGGGATCGGACACGTTACGATCTAGAGATAGTTCTTTGGATTTATTCTTCGATCAAGAGATCGAGCATATGATGACCTAACTTACATTACAATACAACATAACTAATTTCATTCACTAAACATGCATTACATCAAGGCCATTACAAAGTTTACTATATTCGAACTAAACTAAATTAACAAGTAGCCGATTGGTCGGCTAGTCGTTTTAGATACCGGTATCACTTTGCCACTAATTCAAACGACTATTTCCAACGCAGGGGGCCTGACGACGCCTTCAACTTGATATATTACCGAACTCCACATCCTCTTGTGGTTCCTCGGATGATTGCCCATCGTGTTTCCTCACTCAGAGACATGCTCCTAATCGGTGTCAAGCTAGTGACCGCGAGTCATTATCACTGTAATTAATTCCACCCTGACCCAATCGAGATTGGACTGGTCGGGGGTATGGTCGGGTGACCGATTGTGATCTTGTTGACTTGTAACTGCCATTGTCATCAGTGCTGGTGGTGTTCTAGGGATGTTTGGGATGACAACGTATATGGGTTGTGGAGGTTGGGGCTGATGTAAAATGAGTACTGGTGGATGCAGGCCAATGGTTGAGTGATAAGGGGGTGAAATCACACACCTCTGTGACGTGATGTCCCATCCAAGAATCGGACTAATCTGAAGAGGATTTATAGTTTGGCTCAGGGTGAATGGGCGAATGCTGTCCGAATTAATCGTACTGAGGTTAACTTGACATGGGTCGATCAACCCAATCTGATGCATCTGATTTGAAGGTCAACGAGGTCGCAATCGAGAGCATAGGTCAAATGATTCGTGATTGGGATCCTTTTTTGCCAACGGAGTTATGCTGAGGATGCCCACAGAATTACCTGATGGAAAAATACCCATATGCTACAAATAGGTCTACAAGGTCAAACTCAAAGCGGATGGCACTGTTGAACGCTACAAGGCTAGGTTGGTGGCTAAGGGCTACACACAACAATTAGGGGTGGACTACAATCGAAACTTTTTCCCCAGTAGCTCGGATAACCACCATTCGGACTTTCCTAGCGGTGGTTGCTTCTAAGGCATGGCATGTTCACCAATTAAACAACAACAACGCTTTTCTTCATGGGGATTTAGAGTGAGAAGTGTATATGGTTCTTCCCCCGGGCTTTCAAGCAGAGAAACCGAACCAGGTTTGTAAGTTGTTGAGATCGTTGTATGGCCTAAAGCAGGCGAGTCGACAATGGAATGTCAAACTCACGGCAGCCCTCCTAAATTATGGTTTCAAGCAATGCATCGCTGATCCGTCTTTATTCACTAAAGGAACGGGCAGCAGCTACATTGCCCTTTTGGTATATGTTGACGACATTCTAGTAGCAAGCAGTGAATTAATTCTCATCCAACAACTGAAGGACGTACTGGATAAAGCTTTTAGAATCAAAGACTTGGGTGTTCTAGGCTATTTTTTGGGTATTGAAGCCAAAGTTTCCACTGCCGGTTTGAACTTGTGCCAAAGGAAATATGCAGTTTACATTTTAAGTGATGCTGGATTCACTGATTGTAAACCAGTAAATACACCTATGGTTCCGGGAACCCATCTATTCCAAGAAGATGGCACAGCTTTGACGGATCCGGGAAGCTATCGGCGATTGATTGGTATATTGTTATATCTCACGGCCACAAGGCCGAATATCACATACACCGTTCATAAGCTCAGTCAGTTTGTTAGCTCACCTACTGATAGGCACATGGCCGCCGCGCATCGTATTCTCCGTTATATCAAAGGTTCTCCCAGTCAAGGACTGTTTTATCCAGCAACAACCACTCTTCAACTCAAAGCTTTTTCTGATTCTGATTGGGCTTCTTGCGCTGACACTCGCAAATCCGTTACAGGCTATTGTATATTTCTTGACACATCTCTCATCTCATGGAAATCGAAGAAATAGGCAACGGTGTCAAAGTATTCTTCCGAGGCGGAGTATCGGGCTCTTGCAGCCACTGTTTGTGAATTACAGTGGATCACCTCCCTTCTTCAAGACCTGCATATTACTGTAAGTGTTCCTGCCACTGTCTTCTGCGATAATAAATCGGCTATTGCAATTGCTGAAAATAGTGTTTTCCACGAAAGGAATAAGCACATTGAAATCGATTGTCATGTTGTGCGGGAAAGAATCGCTCAGGGCCTAGTCAATTTGCTTTCTGTTTCTTCTTTTAATCAAGTTGCAGGCGGCTTCACCAAGCCTCTTCCAATTTCTCAATTTGCATCTTTTGTATCTAAGCTGGGTGTTCAAAATTTATACACTCCAGCTTACGGGGGGGTATTAGAGGAAGAAAAGGAAAATATGGAAAGGGCATAAATGTACTTTCTTTTCTTTTCTGTTTGATTACAACTGTCACCACCATGTTTAAATAGGTGGCAGCTTCCCTTTCTAATATAATGTCATTTTCTCCACTTTCTCTATGAAATGAATAAACAAATAAACTTCTTCTCATCTTCTCTTCACCCGTGACCTCTGTTCCCAAAATGACCCTAGTCACTAAAGAATCACAAATAGGTAAACCAAGGTTACCTATAACTTAGCGACTCAAATCAAATGACCAATAATTAACTCCCATAGAAAGTTGAAATTAGAACATTATTGGCCCATGAATTTGAGTATATTGATTTTATTTGAGATATTCATTTAAATTTTTCATCATATTTTTTTTTGAAAGCAAAGAATTGCAATGCATTAATGTAAAAACAAAGGAATAGAGTCTGGAGGGACAGAGTCCCAGTACATAGAGCTAGCTTGATCAAAAGCTGCCGAAGCTAAATGATGAGCATGTAAATTAAAAGATCGGAGAAATTTAATCATATATTTATTTATAAGCAAATTTCACTTTTAGTCGTTGACTAATGTGACATTGTTACATTTAATCATATCCTTTTTAATTTTGCAACATTATATTGTTTACTTTTTTTTTGCTTACCACAATTTCTATCATTCCACTATTGATGTTATAACTTTTTTATAATCAATTTGGGTATTTTTATTTTATTAGAGGTATTCATTTATACTTTTGTCGGATATTTGTTTATTTGTTTATTTTAAAATTTGTTGCTTATACTCGTATTATTTAGAAGAACAAATTAACACCACCTTTGCAAAAGCATACGAGGCAGTCAAATCAATGCCAATTCAGTCAACAATAGCATATTGCTAGCTTGCTGACTGACTCAATTGTTTGGCCTTCAATGAATCTTTTTGAAATTTAAACTTAATTTCATTAGCTTACTAAATTTGAGAAATTAAATTACTTGACATTTATGCTCGTAAAGTTATTTTAGATATTTGAAATTGAATTGTGCAGTTGTATAAAAGTGAATGGAGCCTGAATTTGTTTAAATAAAGATTTTAAATTTATTTTATATAACCGAGCATTAAGCTAGACAATGTCAGTGGTGGTTGTAGCCATGAATATAAAAATGGCGAAAGAAAAAACTTTTTAGGAGATTATGACTCGTGATACCATGTGAGGAAATGAACTGTACATTTATTAATGTAAATAACTAGCTATAAGTAGTATACAGATGATAGTAAATAGCAGAGAGTTGTAACAACCACTACTGGAAATTCTGAAATTTCCGACCACCTGAAAATGATCTTAAATTAAGTTGATACCAAAAAGTCCAAAAAGTGGTCGGAAATAGCAACAAAGGTTTTTTCGGATACCAAAAGTGGTCAGAACAAGACTTTCAACTTGATTTAAGATCACTTTTAGGTGATCGGAAATTTCAGAATTTCCAGTAGTGAACTATTCATACACAACTATTCTATATGAGCATAAATAGAACAAATAATAACTAAATGTAATACTAGCCACATATAGGGCTTAACATATTTCATGACAACTAATAATAATAATAATAATAATAATAATAATAATAATAATAATATTATTATTATTATTATTATTATTATTATTATTATTATTATTATTATTATTATTATTATTAATCATCTTTTAATGCATTCATGCTTTTAAATAAGTGCCAAGAATATATGGGAGTATGGGACAGCTGTGGCTCACTTTAGACGATGATTATTATCAAATAGTGAGCAATGAGAGGGCAGGCATATATGCATTTTGTTTTTCTAATAAATAATTAAAATATTAATATTAATAATTGCAGAAATTTTGAATGGTAGGTAGCCGTTTGGTCGACATCACAACCTCAAATTGTCAAACCTAGTTTCTTAATGTAAGCAGTTGCATCATTCTACTAAAACCAAAACTGTTCTTTTCATCATTTTAACATTTTCTCCCTTTCTTTTCTGCTTGATATTCCGTTAATCAACTTCATGCAATGTCTTTTAATTTCTTATTTTTATTTATAATTATAATTATATTTATAATTAAATTGTGTGCTTTTTAAAAAATATATATAAGAGTTAATACCCAAAATCGTCCTCGACTATAGTGGTTTTTCTCAATTTCGTCCTAAACGACTTTGGTGACCTAATATCGTCCGAGACTTTTGTGTTTCGCTCAATTTAGTCCCAGACTTTTGTGTTTTTGCTCAATTTAGTCCCTCATTTGTTATTCTATCCATTTGGTGTTAAATAAATAGACAATTCAGTAATTTTAATATTGGCATCTCTTTACTCATAGACATGTGAACTGCGAAATCCCTTTTTGTTTTTACGAATTACTCCCAGAATTACTCCTAAAACTGCGAATATAAAATTAGATTTGCAGGTCTGGAAGTAATTTTGGGTGTAATTCGTACAAGAAAGAGGAATTTCGCACTTCACAAGATGAAAGTAAAGAGAGATCAATATTGACATTACTGAATTGTCCATTTATTTAACACCAATTTGACGGAATAACAAATGGAGGACTAAATTGAGCGAAACACAAAAGTCTGGGACGGTATTAGGTCACCAAAGTCGTTTAAGACAAAATTGAGAAAAACCACTATAGTCGAGGACGATTTTGGGTATTAACTCATATATATAATGACTTTAAGTTTAAATTTCAAGTCTCTATTCCTATCAGATTATGCATACACACGCACGCGTAGAAGAAGGTTGTGTTATACATGTATAGAGTTGACCGGTTATACACTCAAATATTTGAGTGTAAAACAAGAAAATTAAAATTAAATTACTAGTTTTTTTAGTACTACTGACTGAGGTTCAAATCTGTGACCATCCCATTTGAAAGTCATAACTATGCCGCTTGACCACAAGGCATTTGACAATTACCTGTTCAGTTTTAAAATATGAGGATGATATGATCCATCTATTTTGGTAGATTAATGGTTGGTGATTGTTGTAATATAAGGAAAAAAATATATGGATAGTTTTAAAGTATTGTAAATTTAAAAATTAAATTTGTAATAATTATAAAATTGACCCGACCCATGTTTTTTTACTAAAACATTCAATCATTGATAAATTTTGATGAACGGTTGAGATCAACCCCACTTTTTACAGGGGTTGTTCTCATTAACTCCATTGAGAATTGCTACTCAAGAAAGAACAAAAAACCAATCAAAGTCGTCCATTTAGAAAAAAATCTAACTGATCATATGCAATTATAGAAAAAAAAAAAAATCCTGCGGTGCATTTTTTTATAAATAACTTCAACTAAAAAGTGCAAGTAACAGCACTATAGATTGTAACTTTCAACACTATAGAGTGCAAGTAAGTAAAACTACAACGGGCATCTATTGATAAATCTAGAAAACTAAATACAAACCTAAACTGTAAAATTTAAACTCCTAAATAGTAAAAAGTTAAACATTAAATCAAATAGGAAAAAAAAACTCAGCCATAACGTTTAAAATGTGAACCCTAAGTGCAATTAACTTTACATTTAGTGCAATTAATGATAATGTTATGTGTATTTCATACCGTTCTTATGTGCACTCTAAAGACAAATAATAACTACAAAATCTAAAGTAAACTTCCAAATCAAATTAAAGAAGTTAAAAAAAAAATAAAAAATAAATAAAAGGTAAACCATAAATCGTCAAGCGTAGGTATTATTAAGATCTAATAGTGTAAACTGTGAATGGCAAATTATGGTCCACACAGTGTTGTGTGGACCATAACAAAAAATACAATTTTAATATACTAAACGTACATTATTTATGTACTAAATGTACATTATTTTACAATATACAAAATATGGTCCACACAGCTTGTATGGACCATAGGCCACACAATAATGATTGACCATGAATTGACTGGGCTTCTACGGTATAGTAATCCGGAATTCCAACGGTGGGTTCGCCACTGCTCAGAGTGGTCCAATCCGTTGTCTTAATGACCCTCATCTTGCCGAGGCCTTATCGTTATACCCTGCACCACGGCGCACATAGCACTGTGCACCCCGCGCATCCGAAAACGACGTTGTTTTGTTAAGTTGTGTAGGAAGTAGACGCGATTATGTACATTATGGTATACAATTATGTACATTTGTTTATATAATTATGTACATTTTTTTATACAATTATGTACATTTTTTTTATACAATTATGTATATCCGAAACAAGGAATTTATGTGTATTATGTTAAAAGTTTATGTGTATTGTGTATTATGTATTATGTTAGATTATGTGTATTATCTTTTCAAAAAATGTATGTGTATTTTGTTATACAATTATGTGCATTCTAATATACAATTATGTACATTTTAGTATACAATTATGTACATTTTTAAACATGAGATTTTTTTTTTTTAAAGAAAATTAACAGTCTACACGGGAAGCGGAATTCCGAAAAAAAAAAAAAAAAAAAAAAAAAGATTTCCAAAACGACGTCGTTTTGCACCAGGGCGCACAATGCAATGCGCACCCTGGTGCACGATATAAATTGCTCTTCGCAGTTAAGCCCAGTCAATTTATGGTTTATGTGTGTGTGTGTGTGTGTGTGGATCTCCTAGGTGAAAACAT